GACTACTTTGGAGACTTCATACTGGTGGCATCAGCCAGTATTTGTCCTTTTGTGGCTGGCTTATTTCAATTAGCAGAATGTCCTCGAGGGTCATCCATATTGTAGTACGTGTCAGAATTTCCTTCTTCTTCTTTTTTTTTTTTTTAATGTTTATCTATTTATTTATTGACACACACACAGAGAGAGAGAGAGAGAACAAGAGACCTAGGGAGGGGCAGAGGGAGAGGGAGAGAGAAAGCCCAAGAAGGCTCCGTGCTGTCAGCAGAGAACCCAACGTGGAGCTTCAACTCACGAACTGTGAGACCATGACCTGAGCCGAAACCAAGAGTTGGCCGCTTAAGCAACTAAGCTACCCAGACACCCCAGAATTCCCTTCTTTTTTAAGGCTGCATAATATTTCATGGTATTACCATACACCGTTAATGCATTCATCTGTTGATGGACATTTGAGTGGCTTCCAACTTTTGGCTGTTGTGATCGGTGCTGCTACGGACATGAGTATATACATATCTCTTCAAGATCCTGCTTTCGATCCTTTTGGATATATACTCAGAAGCGGAATTGCTGGATCATAGGGTAATTCTATTTTTAACTTTTTGAGGAACTGCCACATGGACCACATGTCCTCAGTGGCAGCACCATTTTACATTCCCCACTAACAGTGTCCAAGGGTTCCCATCTTTCCACAGCTTCATCAACACTTGTTATCTCATGTCTTTTTTTTTTTTTTTAATGTTTATTTATTTTTGAGAGAGAGAGACAAAGTGTGAGCAGGGGAAGGGGCAGAGAGAGAGGGAGACACAGAATCCAAAGCAGGCTCCAGGCTCTGAGCTGTCGGCACAGAGCCCGACTCGGGGCTCGAACTCATGAACCGCGAAATCATGACCTGGGCTGAAGTTGGACGCTCAACCAACTGAGCCACCCAGGCGCCCCTGTTGTATCTTTTTGATACTAGCCATTCCGACAGGTGTGAGATAGAGGTCTAATGTCATTCTTTTGCATGTGAGTTTCCAATTTTTCCAACATTTATCGAAGAGACCCTTCTCCCCCGCCTGAATATTCTTGGCTCCCTGGTCAAATATTAATTGTTTTAATAATTAATTGTATTAATTGTATTAATATTAATTAATAAATATTAATTAATTTCTGGTCCCTAAATTCTGTCCCAGGGGTCTATGTGCCAGCATCATACTGTTTTGGTTGCTATAACTTTGTAGTAAGATTTGAAATCAGGAAATGCGAGGCCTCCAGCTTTGTTCTTTCTCAGGATTGCTTTGTCTATTTGAGTTCTTTTATGGTTCCATACACATTTCAGGATTATATCTTCTGTTTCTGTGAAAAATGCCATTGGAATCTTGATAGGGATTGTGTTGATCTAGAGATGGCCTTAAGTACTATGGACATTTTAACAATATTCTTCTGATCCATGAACACGGGACATTTTTCCGTTTGTTTTTGTATTTGTTTTCAATTTCTTTCATCAATGTCATGTAACTTCCAGTGTGCAAATCTCTCACATCCTTGACTAAATTTGTTCCTAAGTATTTTATTATTTTTGATGCTATTGTAAATGGGATTGCTTTCTTTATCTCTTCTTCAGATAGTTTGCTGTTAGTGGATAGAAACACAACCAATTTTTGCATGCTGATTTTTATGCTGTACCTTCACTGAATTCATTGATTAAGTCTAACAGTTTTTTGGTAGAGTCCTTAGGATTTTCTATATATAAGATACTATCATCTGCAAACAAAGACAATTTTATGTCTTCTTTTTTGATTTGGATGCCTTGTATGCGTTTGTACTGCTTGATTGTTCTGGCTAGGATTTTCAGGACTGTGTTGAATAGGAGGGGAGAGGGTGGGCGCCCTTGTCTTGCTCCTGATCTCAGAAGGAAAAGCTTTCAGGGTTTCACCATTGAGTGTGATGTTTGCTGTGGGCTTGTCATATCTGGCTTCTTTTATGTTGAAGTATGTTCCTTCTGTACCCAATTGGTTGGAGTTTTTGTCCTGAAAGGATGTTGAATTTTGTCAGATGCATTTCCTGCGTCTGTTGAGATGATCATATGATTTTTATCTTTTGTTCCGTTAATGCGATATATCACATTTATTGATTTATGTGTGTGGAGCTATCCTTGCATCCCAGGGATAAATCCCACCTAATCATGTTCTGTGATCTTTTAATTTAAAGTTTATTTATTTACTTATTTTGAGAGAGAGAGAGCACCTGTGAACAAGGGAGGGACGAAGAGAGAGAGGGAGAGAGAGAGAATCACAAGCAGACTCCATGCTGTCAGCACAGAGCCTGACGTGGGGCTCGATCTCACAGACCGTGAGATCGTGACCTGAGCTGAAATCAAGGGTCAGATGCTTAACCAGCTGAGCCACCCAGGTGCCCTTCACGTTGTATGATCTTTTTAATGCACTGTTGAATTTGGTTTGCTAATATTTTGTTGTGAATTTTTAAATTTGCACTCATCAGGTATATTGGCCTGTAGTTTCTTTTCTGGTAGGAGGCTCACCTGGCTACCAGGGTATCAAGGTAACCCTGGCCTCATGAAATGAGTTTGGGAGTGTTCTCTCCTCTTCAAACTCTTTTGGAAGAATCTGAGAGGAATTGATATTGATTCTTCTTCTTTTTTTTTTTTTTAATGTTTATTTATTTTTGAGAGAGACAGAGCATGAACGGGGGAGGGTCAGAGAGAGGGAGACACAGAATCTGAAAGAGGCTCCAGGCTCCGAGCGGTCAGCACAGAGCCCCATGCGGGGCTCGAACTCACGGACCGCGAGATCACGACCTGAGCCGAAGTCGGACGCTTAACCGACTGAGCCACCCAGGTGCCCCGATATTGATTCTTCTTTAAATGTTTGGTAGAATTCACCAGGAAACCATCTGGTCCTGGGCTTTTCAAAACCTGGGAAGTTTATGATTACTAATTCGATCTTACTTGTTATTGGTCTATTCGGATTTTCTTTTTCTTCACGATTCTGTGTTTGTAGATTGTACGTTTCTAGGAATTTGTCCATTTCTTCTAGGATATCCAATTTGTTGGCATATAATTGTTCATAATATTCTCTTAAGATCCTTTGTACTTCTCTGGTATCAGTTGTAATGATGTCCAAATCGTGTCTAATTTTGTTTGAGTCTTTTCTCTTAATCTTACTAAAGGTTTATCAATTTTGTTTATCTTTTCAAAAAACGAGCTTAATTTCATTGGTCTTTTCTATTGTTTTTCTCTTCTCTCTTTCATTTATTTCTGCTCTGATCATTGTTATTTCCTCCCTTCGTCTAATTTTGGGCTTTGTTTACTCTTTTTCTAGTTCCTTCAGGTTGTTTATTTGAGATCTTTCTTTTTTCTTAATGCAGGTTTTTATTGCTATAAACTTCTCTCTTAGAACTGCTTTTGCTGTATCCCATAACTTTGATATGTTGAATTTCTTTTTTTTTTTTAATTTTTTAAAATGTTTATTTTGAGAGAAAGAGAGAGAAAGTATGAACTGGGGAGGGGCAGAGAGAGAGGGAGACACAGAATCCAAAGTAGGCTCCAGGCTCCGAGCTGTCAGGACAGACCCTGATGCGGGGCTCAAACTCACAAACTGCGAGATCATGACCTGAGCTGAAGTCGGACGCTCAACTGACTGAGCCACCCAGGCGCCCTGATATGTTGAATTTCCATTTTTGTTTGTATTAAGGTATTCTTGACTTCCATTTTGGTTTCTTCTTTGACCCATTGATTGTTCAGGATTGTGTTGTTTAATTTCTACATATTTGTGGATTTTCCAGTTTTCTTCCTACTATTGATTTCTAGTTCATACCATTGTGGTTGGAGAAGACACTTGACATGATTTCAATCTTAAGTTATGAAACTTGTTTTGCGTTTAGTTTACTTTGAAATGCATCAAAAACAAGATAGATTGTTGAATAGATAAAGGAACGTATAGCTGGACAGATGTGTGATAATGAAGGATATAGTAAGTGTTAAGGGTAGAATAGCCATGCATACATGGCTGTTCATTGTCTTACTCTAAATCTTTATGTTTGAAAATGCTCATAACAAAATGAAAAAACTTTCTGGTAAGCCATTACCCCGAGAGAGCCAATCCTTCATTCGTTTACATGCAGATGTACATATACCAGAAGTTCTAAACTAGGGGCAAATTAGCCCCAAGGGGACACTGGGTAATGTCCAGAGACATTTTGATTGTCATGACTGGTGGTGCTGCTGGCATCTGGTGGGTAAAGACCAGGGATACTGCTAAACATCCTCCAACGCACTGGACAGCCCCCACAACCAAGAATGCCCTAGCCCCAAACGTCAATAGCGCTGAGGCTGAGAAAGCCTGACGTATATAGCTGAGTATCTGAATATAGATATCCATTCATATAGATGTGTATATGCATGTTTTATGCTTACATATATTTTAAACAAAATCGGACTCACAGTTTTATAACCTGTGTCTTCATAATGTATTGTCACGTTCCCAGGTAATTAAATTGGCTTTAACGCTGTCATATTTTAATGGCGATTATAGATGTATATGCTGTGATTTATTGGGCCCAGCTCGCTCTGGGCATTTTTAGGTAGTTGACCAATCTGTAGTCTACCTCAGTAGAATTTGAACCTTCGCTGTCAGACAAATCTCTATCCTGTGTGGTGAAGATATCTTTGGGAAAGGCTTGTTGGTCGTCCTCGGGACCACCTTGGGTGTCAGCATTCTCTGTGCCTGGAACGTTTGTTCTGGGGCTTTCCAAGGGCTGTCGTCTTGGGGTGGTTTTTCCCCAGCGGCTGTGGCCAGCGGAGGCAGCAGCCCACAGTGTGGCACCTCCACCAGCCCTGGGTCAGCGTTGGGCTGTACCAGCTGTGGATCGGGGGTGGGAACAGGGAGCCCTGTTCTCCCTCCCCTGGTCCAGGTTCTGCTGAGTTCCTGAGGACACAACTTGACTTTAACCTGTGTCTTTTCTCAAATATAGGTCTCCCCTTCTGATGACAAGGGAAAGGAAGAATGGATTACAGTCACGAAACCTCCCTAGTCCCGTGTGGACAAGATAAATACATCTCCAAGTAAGGTTTTTTGCTGTAGTGTTGTGTCCCCAGGGGCCAGTCCCACATGGTTGGAAACCCCTGGCACAGGAGTCTCTTCTGTACGTGGGCGAGCAGGGGCTCCTGTCGGGGGGAAGAAGCGAAGCTCCCGATTGTGAACTAGTGACAGCACAGCAAGGTTGGTGCTATAGATAAAAACATGCCCCCAGAGCCTGGCCATAGACCGCGAAGTAAAGACCTTCAAGACACGGCACCCTTGGGTGCTCAAAAAGATGGTGTCCTGGAGGGCTCCCAGGAGGAGGAGTTAATGGTGGTGGCTCGCTGTGCTACCTGTGGTGTCCCTTTGGGGGGGGGTCCCAGCTGGGCTGGGTCCCTGTGCTGCCGGCGTTCTGACTAAACGTTCAGGTGCCCCCTGAACAGAAGGAGACAGTTTCATTGCTCTGTATGTACGAAAATCTCTCGAGCTCAGATATTTGGCTCGTGTGAGCCAAAGTGGACTCTTCCAGATTATCTGTTTGAGGATGTATTTTTATATCCGGCACCAGGATTTGTTCACGCTGGGTGCTCTGTATCTGAGCTAAATGTTTAGCTTATCTGCCACCAAATTGTTTTAATTCCTTTACACATATTTGGCCATATACAGACACGCAGTTGTGTGAGATATGGATCGCTCTTATCTCCTCATTGACGGATTTCCCCGGGGACTTCTGCTGACCAGTAATTTGAGATCTGCGTGTTCAAAAGGGCCAAACGGCTCTTGCGTTAGGTTATTTGGAGTCGCATTTTTCGCTAATTCACTTAGGCTTCCATAGAATTACTCCGATTTTTCTAGGTTTAGCTTGGCAGGAGATTCTTGGAATTTCAAGCCAGCTTTGACCTCTGGTGTGGCCCCGCATCGCTGTGTTGAAATGGCTGGAGTCAGAGGGAGCAAACTTCATAACCTCTTGCCTGAGATGAGGCAAAAGCACACGGCAGCCTCCTCAAGCCTCTCCCTTCCCAGCCCCCAGGCGCTAGCATGCACTTTCCCATAGACTGTTCTCAGGTTCAACGCGGGCTCACCCTGATCACAAAGGCGGGAAGTCCTTGCTCTTTCTTGTTCAGGAGAGCTGTGTTTCCAGAGGACCACCTGGAAACCAGGATCTAACAGCTAGGGAGGCCTGATATGAGGCTTCGGAGGGAGATTGGCAAGTTAAAAAACATTTTTTTTTTTGTTTATTTATTTACTTAAGCAGTCTCCACACCTAACATGGTGCTTGAACTCATGACCCTGACATCAGGAGTCCCATGTTCCTCCACTCAGCCAGCCAAGCAACCCCAAATTTTTTAAAAAATAAACTGAAAGGAGCCACCTGGGTGACTCAGTCAGTTAAGCGTCTGACTTCGGCTCAAGACATGATCTCACAGTTTGTGAGTTCGAGCCCCACCTCGGGCTCTCCGCTGTCAGCACTGAGCCTGCTTCAGACCCTCTGTTCCCCCTCTCTCTGCCCCTTCCCCACTTGTGCTCTCTCTCTTTCTCAAAAAGAAATAAACATTTAAAAGAATAAATAAACAAAAAATAAAATAAACCGAAAGCATCTAGAATACAATAAAAAGATAAAAGTTTGTAGAATAGAATATTACCAGGGCCCAGAACCCTCTTCTGCCCCCTTGTGGTCACTGCTCCCCAAGGTGAACCGCTATCCTGAATT